TGTGTGTGTGTGTGTGTGTGTGTGTGTGTGTGTGTGTGTGTGCGCGCACTGTGAAATCCAACCTTCCGACTAAAAGAAAATCACAGAACAGCAGAGAGACACGTGGTGAAATGACCCACGTAGAGAAGAGGATGGAGCGGTGTAATCTAACCTCATCTGGATGTCTTGAGTTCACTGCAGCTTCTGTCCTCACGGAGAAGAAAAAAAAAATTTCCATCGTTGACCTTTTTGCTTCATGTCTGATGTGATTGTAGAGAATTCGTCATCATGAACCTTTACAGGCCTGCTGTGGTCAAGATTAATTGTTAAAGGGAACCCTGAGTAATTGTAACATTAAACATGATTTAATAAACAATGGCTTCAACTGTAAAACAAACACTGAAGGCTGTTTAGTTTTWATAAGTTAAATAAAAMATAGATTGTCACACAATGGTGCCATTTTATTTAAGCTGCGAAGCACACTGGGTAAATGATGACGTTCACTRTGTTTACTGGTGCGTGGCTGTGCSAGCAGCTAAGCAAGCTCTATCCACCCWGAAGGKTAATCTTGGAYAWTTTCTGACGATCGGCCCTTTCAAATGGAACCAGAAGGCATTAACAGAGGAGAATGTAGAAAAGATTCAGCCTGAAAACTAAAAATGTGGATGGAGGACAACAAAGCGGCTTCATGGAAGCAGAAGCTCAGCTTAGCCTGTTAGCTTTTGCGTTAGCGCTGAGCTAATACATCACGAGCTAACATTATTCGCTCAGGTGCTAATCTTAGGATATTTTCCAAGATTAACATTCAGGCTGGATAAAACTCGCCCAGACATTTTCCCTGAGAGGGCCAAAATGAAAATCAATCTGAGGGCTGCGGGCCAAATGCAATAATATACTACAATAAATGCWAATATTTTTAAAGTAAAGTTTTTTTTATGATGATTAAGCTAGCAGCCAGTGTGGTGGCCCACATTTTTTGGTTTGTCATCTTTTTGCTAGCCAATGGACATGCAGAAAATTTGACGTACCCTCGAGCAACAGGAACTCATGGGACTTTTCAGAAATTTGTATTTGTGGTCTTATAAAGTGTGCAAATCTAGATGTGTGCTTAAATCTAATCTAAATGTCTCTTGTAGTGTGTTATATCTTTAAATTTAATATAATTCAAAGATAAAGTAAATGAGTTAAGATTACCTGCACTACAGTTACATAGTTGAACCAATGGTTGGAATGACTAAGTGGAAATATAGTTTTTCTACATAAAACTAGGTCTGTGTATTGGCAAGAATTTGGTGATACGATACATATCATGACAGAGGGGTCACGATACGATATATCCCGATATATTGCGATACTATAAGCAAGGCGATATATTGCGATACTATAAGCAAGGCGATATATTGCGATACTATAAGCAAGGCGATATATTGAGATACTATAAGCAAGGCGATATATTGCGATACTATAAGCAAGGCGATATATTGCGATACTATAAGCAAGGTGATATATTGAGATACTATAAGCAAGGCAATATATTGCGATATTATAAGCAAGGCGATATGTTGCGATACTATAAGCAAGGCGATATATTGAGATGCTATAAGCAAGGCGATATATTGCAATATTATAAGCAAGGCGATATATTGAAATACTATAAGCAAGGCGATGTATTGAGATACTATAAGCAAGGCGATATATTGAGATACTATAAGCAAGGCGATATATTGAAATACTATAAGCAAGGCGATATATTGAAATACTATAAGCAAGGCGATGTATTGAGATACTATAAGC